TTTTGCACATCACATGTATATACATATATAATGTATACATGTATTGTACAGACCATGTCTCCTACGTGCAGATATCATGTTTACATATCTTTTACATCATACCTTATCTACATCGTATTCGTCTCGCGAAACGCGCATTCCCCAGTCCAGCCCCCCGTCCCCGTCTCCAGTCAGGGTCGATCTTCTTTACAGGTACAGGGGGTGACGGACCCGAGCCGAGCTGTCCGCCCGCTCGCCCTCCACTCGTCCTCAGTGGCAGCTCAGCTGTCAGTGCTCGGTCCTTAGTGCTCAGTGCTCAGTGCTCAGTCCTCAGTCCTCAGTCCTCAGTCCTCAGTCCTCAGCCTCAGCCCTCAGCCTTCTCTTGCAGCACTGCCTCTGCCTTCCACCACCACCACCTCTCGAGGTACGAGTAATTCCTGCTTCCATAAACTCTGCACACGCCCGCCATCTGGACATCGAATCTGCCCATCTTTCTACCCTGCGAACATCCCAATCGACCGACACTTCTTGCGCCGCCGCTTCAGCACACTGGCGCTCGCTGCCGCTGCAGATTGATAGTGCAGTGCGGTAAGGCACGATCCTCCAGGACGCCACGCTCTTCGGCCTTGACTCTCCTTGAGTAAAATTAATATTCGATCTTTGACTGATTTCCTGTCACTGCCTAGTTTCCAATACCCCCCCTCTCCGCCCATCCCGCTTTTGGCAACGTCGGGCTCTTTTGTCAACAAAGGCTTTTCCGACGTGCCTCAACTACGAAGATACCCCACCAAATAACTACTTCCGGCAGCCATAACAATCCGACCTCCCACGATAACGCTGAAAACTGGAGGCATTTTCCCTGCCCAAAATAGAGTTGATGTATTGAAGAACCCCTATATTTCGCCAAGAAACAACCAGACATGGCCTCGCAAACCTCGGCAGAATCTCCGTCCAGGAAGGTCCTTGCCGTTGGGACCCCGCCTAGGGTTCAGGAGAACGGCGAGTACAAAGAAAATGATGGAAGTCCTTCAAGAAAAGAAACCCCTACGATTCCGATCCCAGATTCAGGGCGACGACTACAAGGCGCTCCAACTTCGCCGGCCAAAGTCAACGTGCAAAGAGAAAACTGGCCACCTCGACCTTCATCCGCTACGGTTGAGAACGTGGGGTACGGTAAAGATCGACAGTTCTCGCAGGACTCCGCACCACAATACGAACCAGAATCGTTTCAATATCGAATGCCGGTCCCCCAGGATATGCCGTTTCGGCCAGGCTACAACATATCTGGGGCAGCGCCACCAGTGACAGGTATACCTTCTGGGGCGAGCGCAAGTTTAAAGACACCTTCGGATGAATCGCTGAGGCGTGGATACAATGTGGATGAGAATGCAGACGAGGTTGAGATCCAGCCTGTCCCGCGACTCCAGTACCATCATCAATCGCACCGTTCCGATGGAGGGATCGATAGGAAGCGCGGTAGTCCCAACAGACCCACGAGCGAACTGGTTGGTATTGGGCAGTCAATCAATAGACATCTGACTCCGGCAGCTCAAATGGCGAGCCGTTCCTCCAACCAGCGACCCTTATCTGTATATTCGGACATGAGGAGAGGCAGTTCGCCAGCACTATCAGGCTCTCCAATGTACGGTGGGCGTGCTTCGTCGACAAACTCCGGGCGATCGAGTGATAGCAGACCTCTTTCCTATATCGATTTGGCAAATATGTCGTATCCACAGGCCGCTCCGGCGCCTATTTCATTGGACAACTCGCAACTGCGGTCCGTAGTGGGGTCGAACGCTTCGCTGCTCACTATGGCAAAGACGCTGGAAATGTATAGACAAAATGTGAAGAAGCTGAATGATTCCGCAACCCAGTATGCCTTCGCCGTTTTTCTGATACAGGCCGCCCAGGAAGCTGGGCTAAATCAAGAGGGAGATTCTCCACCGCGGAAACCACGTCCCAAGTCAGCAAACAGGGATACTGACAGTCCGTATGTAGATAAACCCCTCGCTTCGCCCCAGGAACTTCTGAACGAGGCCAAGCACATGTTACAAAAGCTCTCGGATAGAAGCTACCCATTTGCGCAATACTACTTGGCCGATGGGTATGCGTCTGGCCTGTTCAACAAGGGGAAGGAGGACTATGGGACAGCATTTCCTCTATTTGTGTCCGCCAGCAAGCACGGTCATGCCGAGTCGGGCTATCGAGCAGCCTTATGTTACGAATTTGGCTGGGGCTGCAGGAAAGACGCAGCAAAAGCCGTACAGTTCTACAGGCAATCAGCTTCAAAGAGTCACCCCGGCGCTATGACCCGCCTAGGTCGAGCATGTCTTTTCGGTGATCTAGGCTTGAATAAATACAGAGAGGGTCTAAAATGGCTCAAACGAGCAACCGAATCAGCAGATTCCCAGTACAATGCCGCCCCTTACCATCTCGGCCTGCTGTACGAGACCGGCCACGGAGACGACATCTTCCAAGACGAGATCTACGCAGCCCAACTCTTCACACAAGCCGCGGACCTAGGTCACGCTGAATCCTGCTACCGGCTCGGCAACGCGTACGAGCACGGCAAGCTAGGATGCCCCCGAGATCCAGCGCTGAGCGTGCACTTTTACACAGGTGCAGCGCAGAGGGGTCACCCGGCTGGCATGATGGCTCTTTGTGCGTGGTATATGGTCGGCGCGGAGCCCATCCTTGAAAAAGACGAGTATGAGGCGTACGAGTGGGCGCGTCAAGCTGCTGATGCCGGTACTTTGCTTACCCCTTTCCTCACCCGTTTGAACCTCTCGCTAATGTATAACTTTGTAGGTCTCACCAAAGCCCAATACGCCGTAGGCTACTTCACCGAGATGGGCATCGGTTGCCGCCGCGACCCTCTCGAGGCCAACGTCTGGTACGTCAAGGCCGCAGATTCGGGTGACGAGCGCGCGAAGTTGAGGTTGGCTGCTATCCGGGCGGCTGCTAGCGGAGGCAAGCCGATGGAGGTGGCGCCGCCGCGGGACGGAAAGGCTAGAAAGGGGGCGAAGGGGGCCTTGAACGAAAAGGAGTGTGTGGTTATGTAATGGCAAGACTTTGAGTGGGTGGTGTTCAAATGGATGGGGGGGCGGTGCAAGTCGCGACGTTAATGTACATCTACTATCTTTAGATAGGAGAAGAGAAGAGAAGAGAAGGGAAGGGAAAGACAAAGTCGTGCATCCAGAAGAAAAGAAAATAAAGATCCCATCTCCCTTTGCTCGTTTTCACTTTTTAATTCCGACCTTTCTTTATTTTCGCGCTAGATATTCCGCTCTGTGAAAAGAGAAGGAGACCGTTTCATCATAATAAATGATCAAAAAAAAAAAAAAACAAGTCCTCGCTTCCAACGATTCGTCCTAGTTTTTTTTACGACATGATAACTTATCTAGTGAGGGGGACAAAAAATACTATGATAAAATCGTGCGTCGAGATGCAAGAATTAAGCAATCTGTATGGCTCGTGCACATAATAAATCCTGTACTGTAAAGTAAAGTAAAGTGTGCATCTGACCCTGCAAATCGAAATTGCAGCAAAAAAGCTCCAACTTTCCTACGTAGTTGCAAGCTTGAGTTGCAAGCTTGTTCTCCCCTTCCCCTCCTCCCCCCTCAATCCCCCGCTTTCCTTCCGCCTAGGTAGGTATCTCAAGTAGGTACCTTTTTTTAATCTTTTTTCACAACGCTCCTTTTTAAGAAAACCTCTCCCTCCAGCTTAGCAGGACCGGTTCAGTATGATAGATAAGGCAGCGCGTTACCGATCTCGAATCCGTGACGGGAAAAAAGGTAAGGTAATTAATTGGCGGCGGTGGTGGTGGTGGTGGTGGTGATACGTAATGAGGAAGTGGATTTATCTCTTGGGTCTTGAGGTTGCAGAGTGTTAAAGTAGGTAGGTACCGGTATTCGATTTGTTGCTCGTTGCGAGTCATACAGGCTTTGGTCGGTGCACCTTTCACTGTCAGGTTGGAGTTGATCTTGTTTACGTACTACGTACGTAGTAGTATTAGGATCAACTTAAAGTAGCTGCTCGGCTGCACGGACCTATTACCGGTACTGGTACAGCTGTGAGCCAAACACACCCTAAGTTATAGTAAGTTACTGTAGTAGTTGCACGGACGTGCGAATGCGAGCCGTACGCACTCTTAACCGACGAAGGGGATCCGATCCGATCTGATCCTCCTCCTTCCTCCTTCCTCCTCTCTCTTCCTATGACGCGAACAGTAGAATCTAAAAAAAGGAAAAAGGGAAGGGATAAAAGTCTCTTCCCAAAAAAAGAAAAAAAAAAACCCCTACCCTCTCGCTTATTTACTTACTTAGTCATCTAGCCCTTTTAGGAAGGAAGGAGTGCGGTTGGTCGGTCGGTCGTGTGTGTGTGTGTACCGGTATATACATAATAACCTACCTACTTACCTACTTACTTACTTACTGGCTGGAGTAAGAACGTTGGTTGCTGTTCAATTCAGCGTAGGTAGGTGGATAGGTAGGTAGGTAGGTAGCTATGGAGGGAGACACGTAGAGTATCGAAAATCTCCTTCTTGGGGAGCTTGCCGATTACGTTGGCGCTTTCGCATTGCTGGGATATGCGGTGTCAGAGGAGCGTCGTGATGCCTCGTACCGTAGTTATCAGTCACTCTGTGACATTCCAAACGACAGCAGGCATTTCAAGGGATATTCTTTTCATTCCGCTCTCTACCGAAGAATACGTGCAACGGCAAGAAACCACCCCCATTACAGCAAAGCTATGCACAGCCAACACGAATCCGTTCATTCATCAACCTCCTCGCAAAATAAAAAGCCCCACGCCGCCAGGGACAACAGAAAAAAACAAGTAATACGCCCCAAGCGCCAATCGCTATGATCTGCCCATGGCCCAGTCCATAACGCCTTACCGCCATCCGTAGGAAAGAACGCACGTACCAATGTCCCCAGAAACCCTAGGTACATTCAAAATTCGTCGTACCTGTATCATTCAATATCCGGCATCGCGTCGTTCGGCTTGAGAGGGTTATACACCGCTACCTTGCGGTCATCGGTTCCACGTCCACCGACAGCCACCCAGACGTGTTTTGTGGGCACTTTAACGTTGACAGTTTCTCTGCTACCTTTCCAGCGCAGACGGCCGGTAAAAGACAAGTCGCTGATGCCGATGCCGCCGTTGGTCGTCCACTCACTGACAACGTCACGGATGAACTCAACTTTGCGGCGGAAGTCGTTGGCTTGCAGGATACCTTGGAGCATCGGGTCGATCTCTGGGTGCTTGCGGCTGGTGGGTTTGGTGGGGCGAGAGGGCTTGCTCATGAAACTCAGGAGAGTCTGGAGCGGGTAGGAGAGGTGCTGGCGGTCGTTTAGAGATGCTGCGGCGATGGTGCCTTTGGTTGCGAGCTCGTGTACGGCTTCGAGTGGGAGGGGGTAGAAATCACACCATTTGCCGTCTGTTGAGATGACGATCTTCGTATGATCGGGGAAATTAAACTGGGAATATTAGTTTGAAAGTTCGTGGACAGCCTGATGAGAGAACATACCTGTAGGTGCCCATCGCAGAAATACCAGCAGCCAACGTCACCGAAGCGCTGATAGAAAGTTACGACATTGCCAGCCGCGTTGACCTCGGATATGCGGTCTAGAGATTCCCTAGCCAATGCCTCCTGATATGGATAGTTGACCGTCATGTAGTTGGCAAATTTCTTCCATAAGACGATGATTTCCCGTTTTCGATGGTCCCATTCATCCACTCCTGGAGCGAGCTGTCCCCCGGGTTTACCATCCGGGTTCATAGGAATCTTGAAGTTTTGAGGGTTCACCTTGCCACAGAAGATCCCCTTCGCTGCCCTGTTTTCATAGAATTCGATGTTCGGCCCAGAAATCGGTACTATCTGTCTTCGGTCCACGTATGCTTCATTGTCTCGGTTTGACAGGTGTCTCTCCGCGTCCCGGACTACGACGCACGTAGGTGGGATGTTGCCCCTGTTTGGATACTGAGACCCCGCAGACATTGCTCTAAAAATGCATCCGACGCTACCGTTGCTCAGGATGTAACCCAGACCGTACTTGTTGGTGTAGTCCACCCATTTTACTACAATGGTGGGGTTCTGATACTCTTTCTTGACCTGAATTGCAATCGTTCTGCTGCTCAGAGCACGTTCTAGCTCAGCCTGGAATTGACGGAGCCCTTCAAGAACGCTGTCTGGATTAGTATTTGGTAGTACTTCCAGCTTCTCTCGCGGATTGAAGATAGAAGCATTGATAGGGATCGAGATGGTTGGGTCCGGCAACTCTGCTGACTTTCTCTCGGCCTCTGCCTTGGCCAATTGTTTGACAAGATCTGCAGCCAAGCGATCTTCGACATCAGCCACGGCTTCTGGCTCTTTCGGTTCGGCTTTCGCCTCAACTGTTTTAGATCTTGTTCTGAGGTTCACTACTGGCTCTTTCAGTTCGACTTTTGCCTCAACTGTTTTGGATTTTGCTCTCGGGTTCATCGTTAGGAGAGGCCGGAATCTAACTTCTTTAGTTGGTTGATGTGCTTTTACCAACCGACTCGCTGGGTTGCCAGCCAGCCCCTGTGGTCTAGCACGTTGCTGCGCGGCGAAACTCTGAGCGGGGTGCTTAATAGAGGGCACAGGCTGCTCGTTCAGCGTGGCTCTTGCTGGCGATAAAATTTTCTCAAAAACACTTGCTGCCTTCAAAGAGCCTTCGTCATTTGACAAAAACTGTTTTGCCTGTTCCTGGAGAAACTGATGGAAGGGGCGGTACACAACGTCCTCGGGCAATGGAACTGCGGGAGTCAGGCCAGCCTTCTCCTCGTCGGCTACTTCTCGATATGTGCTTGTGTGCTTCTTTGGCTCTGAATTCCAAGGGCCCACCTCGCATTTGATACACAGCTTCTTCAGATTTCTGGTATAGATGTTTGATCTTCCTCCTCGAATGCTGGCGGACAGAAATTGGCTTGGATCCGGGTGCCTCTCGCGGAGTGATGGTGTCATTTCCTCGGGCTGTGGCACTAAGCCACATGTAAAAAAGGGGTGCTGAACAATGGTGTCCGGATCAGGTCTCTTTTCGGCTGCCTGGAGTAGTTCTGAAACCAAATTCTTGGCCTCATCTGATATAACATTTTCAGACGTGTCCAATTTTGGCCAGTCGTACTCTCGCTCACGGGCTCTTCTGTAGATCTCGTCGGATGTTGCTGATTGGAAGGGGGGCTTGCCGGTGAGCATTGCGAAGATGATGATACCCAGACTCCAGATATCAACCGCATGATCATGGCCACCCTTATCTTTCGCCAAGATTTCGGGAGCTATGTAGTTGGGCGTACCGCAAAGAGTCGTTCGTCGACAAGCCTGCCAATCTTTACCCGACATGAGTAGAGCTGCCAAGCCGAAGTCGCCGACTTTGACATTCATGTCCTTGTCCAGGAAGATATTGCCCATCTTGAGATCCCTATGGATGATGCCCTTTGCATGCATGTACTTGATAGCGCCAGCCATCTGTACCGTCCAGTAGCGGACCTCCGGCTGAGTGATGTACTTCCGCTTCCTGACCATATCCATCAACGATCCGTTCGGGCAAAGTTCCAGGACGATGTAGGTACATTTTTCGTAAGAGAACGCTCTGTGAAATTGTACGATATTGGCCTGCTTCATCTTGGAGTGTATTTGAAGTTCGGTTTGGAACTTCTGCTCCATCTTCTTCAGAGACATGTTACTCTTCACAATTTTGAGAGCATATAATTGCCTTGTTCCAGCTAGCTGACCCTCATAGCAGATAGCAAAGCCACCCTTGCCTAGGCATTTGCCGGTTTTGTAGATGGCCCCATTCGGTCGATCCGTACCTATAGCCGGTCAGCATCCCGGATCCATTTTCGAATGTCACCAGACTTCGTTGGGAACAAATTTGGTAAGCTTACTCGGAGGTTCCTGTACCTCACTTGGCGGTGGCGGTGGGTGATCTTTTTCTTTGTTGGTCAGTTTTGGTGGTGGTTGCTTTGCCTTGGGCGCCGGCTGCTTGGCCCGGATTTGGGCATTCGCATCGCGCGGGGACAACGCCTCCATGTCGATGCTGTCCGGGTATATGCACCTTCTCAGAGATTAGCAATGCCGCCCGAAGGACTGGAATGTTTAGGTGGAACTCACTCCCACGCAAGATATCTCTCAGCCTGTTGCCCTAGTGGTAGGTTTCGCCAGGTGAGGTCTAGTCCTCAAAGCTCCCAGTACTCAGCCTATTGACCGATCGTCTTTCACTAATATTATGGCAGCAGTACACCTGAATAGCACGACAGTTAGTAAAGAATGACACCTGGTGGGTTTCGCCAGCGCACAGGGCTTGTTGGCAGTCCTAAGGCGCTGCCAGGCTTGAGAAAGAAAGCAGCCAAGAATTTCACAGGAAACTTGGTGACATTGAATCGATGGCGGAGGAGTCGATTATGGAACATTTGATCGGTCCGTATGAAGGTGCCGGGATAGAGGTACGGCACCGGTGTTGATTCCCCCCCGTTCCTTGAATATCTGGGGACTTATTCGTGGACGACTCTCTGAATATCCAAGCGTGCACGGCGCCGAACGTATATTCCCCCGTAATGTGTGTTGCAATGTGCTGCGCGGGTATGGATTTTGGGTTATGGGACAATGGGACAATGGGAGACGGTGTGGTGCTTACAACTTTGTATCCGTGTCCGCGACAAACTGGTCCTCCTTGAGCGTGGGTGAATTTTCGCCAGAGTGATTGGGACCGCGTGAGGATATGGCGGATACCCGAGGTCGTATCTCGAGGGTGGAAGTGGAGGTCGAGGTCGAGGTCGAGGTCGAGGTCGAGGTATGGTGAAGCTGAGGTTGGGCTTGAGCTTGACCTTGAGGTTGCTGTCATAAGAGAAAATCTGCCGATGTGCCATAACCGTCTGTCCATGATCAATAAGCTAGACGTGGGTTGGTCGTCGGCACGGCAACCTCGCGGACCCACGTGGACCCTGACGCTTACCGATCACACATTGCAACTAAGTTCCGAATCTCCAACCTGTTTGAGACGTCTACTAGACTTCCTTCCTGCGTTCGAGAAAATGTCCATGTCCGTATAATTTGCGGACAATGGACTCGTTACTACTCGCGCGAAGATAGATAACCCAACATTGGTCGATGACTGTGCGCCAGGCCAATTCTATGCAGTTTGGATGCCAGAACCAACAGAATGGTCCCCCTTCCCCTCTTCAAGTTCGCGGCTCTCTTCGTAAGGCACATCTCGAAATATGGCGCGGTAGGTTCCCAGGATATGCTGTTCGAATTCCGAGGCAGTAGACTGACTCATGTTAGAATTACATCAAAGCCCAGGCCCACGATCATCCCAAATTCCGCACGTACGCGGCACGATACGGACAGGGCATCCACCAGCTTAATATGCGGCTGACAGTGACCCTGCTCAGAGACAAAGCGGCGGAGAAACTGGCCAAGGAGAGAGCGGAGGCACCTACAGTGAAGACGGAAGAGCAGATGCGGCATGATGAAGCACAGAAGGAGAAGAATGCTGCCAGGGAAAAGGCTTCACATCAGGAGGCTTCGAAGAGCATATGGAGGAGGAGGTTCCGCCCATTACCGGAAGCCAAGGCTGTGGATCTCTTTGCGGATGTCATTGGAGACTCATTCATCCTGCTTGTTGCAGGGGGACTTATCATATACGAGTACGTCAGGGCAAAGGGGAAACCAGATGCCAACGCGGAGAAGATTGCAGAACTGAACAGGAAGCTGGAGGAGTTAGACTTCCGGGAGAGAAGGCTTGAGGAGGTAGAGAAGGAGCAAGAGGCTCGTGTTGAGACTCTCGAACAAGCAATTGAGGTGATGAGACAGGCAAGCTCTAAAAAGAAGTCTTTGCTTCCCCACACCAGCAAATAGGTTTGGATTTAAGCTTCGTTTTGTTTTGCCCAAAACTATAGAAAGCATCCGCTATCCATGAGAGTAAGCGGCATTGTAAGCAGCCTTGTAAGCGGCCTTCGTGAGGGAATGCTTATTATAAGATCAGTTGGATTGACCAAAGCTTTTCAAATTTCCTTCCTGTGGATAGCTAGGGGCTCGCTTGGCAGCTTCGACTACTGCAAACCATCCTTTTTCTTCACCTTTTCCTGTCTGTATACTGTATTCTACCAACCAGGGAATTCGGCAATATCCTACCAATTCTTCGTTGAAACATGCTTTTATTGTGGGCTCAGGGTTTTTCAAAAAGAAGGATGCCAATGTTACCAAGCTCTCAAGCTGTGAATTCGTTACTTCTCATGGGTGCTTCTGGGAAGAGCAGGTTGGTTGTCTTGGCTCCGCTTAGCGAGTGACTTACAAATTCGTGGACTTCTCTCCCTCTCTCACAACATCATCAAACACAACTATCACCCGAGATCTTCAAGCACAGTATCTCTTGCTCATCAATAAGAAACATGTTCTGCACCTCTCTCCGCAAACGTGTGGAATGGGCAACAGTTCCCAGCACCCTGCTCGCCTCCCAAGCTCCAAAATGGAAAGGTATCTCACCCCCTCCATTTCCAATACAGAGCTAACCACCACAAACAGAGCAAACCCTCACTACCCACGACCTCGCCATTCCCATTCCACTTCCTAAAACCCACCAAAGAGACGCCCTCGAGACCTTTCTCCTCCTCGCCCTTTCTCCCACTGACCTGCTCGACCAACCCGCAACCATGTCCCGCATCCAGCGCCTCTACCACCACACCGGTGGCCGCAACGTCGGTATTTTATTCCTGCTGAACGGAAAGACTCTCAAAAGCAACGGAACAGTTGCATTCATGAACCTTCAACTCACGTGAGACCTCCCAGCCTACCATTTTCCCAGCCCACAGATATATGCTAGTAACCTAGACATACGCTAACGCCCAACAGCCTCCTCAAAACCCTCGAAATCCCCCTGATTCCCCTGTCTTCCCTCTCCACCATCCAGCACACACTCTCCGCCTTCCAGTGCCAACTCGTTTCCAAGCGTCGCGCCGACACCATCCCTCAACACAACCCCGCCGTATCTCTACTCCCGTACTGTACTAATAACCCACCTCTGCCAGAGCATGCGAGGAACGTATTGAGTGATCTCTACCATAGTATCCCCGAGATTGCGAGCGTGGCTACGTCCGTAGAGGGAAAGAGAAGGTTGAGACAGTGGTTGGAGGATAGCTGTCCGGGCGTTGCGGACGATGTTGTAGAGTTTTGGGCGCAGGAGATTTTCGTGGATTGAGGTTGCTGGACTGGAATTGAAGACGGGATTGTATGTGTTGCTGGGTGAGAATGAGGATGAGTGTGCCTTTTGCAATGTTGATGCGGATCCTTGGACTGTGTTGAAAAGATGTGTAGGGAAGTACTTCTTCTTTTGCTATGTCTTGCTATCATCTGTTCAAATCTCAAGAGTTAAATGTCAATATCAGAATCCGAAAAGATGAAGGAAAATTACGCGGTTTCTGCTTCACGTAAGCAGGTGCATAAGTCTCTGCCCCATTATGAAACTCACTTGACTGCTAGTTGAAGAAATATTTAGAACGATAACATCAGGTTTTATTAGAGGGTCTTCGCCTCTTCCCCACTTCCTTCTCCGGAATTCATTAGCGCTCTCCCAGCTTCCTTCGGATTTCTTTGACGCTCTCCCAGCTTCCTTCCTCGAATTTCTTTGGCGCTTTTCATGATCCGCCTTCAAATATCACCTTCATCCTCCCTCCAGCTGGCCTCAATCTCTCGCTACCCTTCATTTTTTTTTCTGTAAGTGCAAAAGCCACCATAAAAAGTCAAACTCAGCATTGGCTGACTCTTAACAGAGTAATCGATCACCATGTCAGGCACATCACTCTCCGCGGGTGAAAAGGCATCGAAGTCACGCGCTTCGTCCAACAAGAACAGCAGAAAAAACTCGAAGACAGGGTTACCTTGCTTCTCGTGAGTCCAGTTCTCTTCACTTCCAAACTCTATAAAATTTCTCGTTTTTTAGATCTCAACGGACGGGCTTGTGCTTCATATCCCCATTGGATTGGTGACCGCTAATGGAATGTTGTTACCCAGGGATCCGAAGTCTCTCGTTACGTTCATAGTCGGCCCCGATCCAGATCCCGTTGAGTTTCTGGTACATAAGGAGATCATCTGCCACCACTCCGTAAGTGGCAGCCACCCTCAAACCTCGTCTTGTAGGACATCTTGGGAGTCGCGCTAGGGGCGTGTCTCGAGTCTTCCAAGCAATCGTCGTGCTTGCGTGATTAGCTTCTGGGTGCAAGGAGAGCAGTACTGACTACGTTGTAGAAGGTATTCAAGGCGGCCTTCAACGGTACTTTCCTCGAGGGGCAGACTCAAACGTACCGGCTGCAAGATACAACTCAGGGTGCCTTTCGGCTGCTCACCCAATGGATTTACTTCCAAAAGCTCAACATTCCCCAAATCCCTCCTGGCTCTGTCGTTGACGAAGACGACGAAGCCTTGGCGGGTGAAGGGGAAGCGGCTCTAGCGGAATTATATGTTCTCGCAGATAAATTCGCTATGGCTCCGTTGCAAAACGCCGTCATTGACGAAATTGAGAATATTGGGTTGGTAACAAGGAATATACCAGTCGACATTTTCAATTACATCTACGAGAACACTTCCCCAGGCAGCGCTCTGCGGAGGTATGTTGTCTTGATCGCGACCAGCTTCGAATTGGGCCCTGAGATATCGGAAAGCAATCATCCTTACGAGATGACGATCGAGATGTGCAGGGAATTCATATCGCAGAGAGCATCCAAGCGTATCAAAAAGATCAAAATCTCTGACTTCTACGTCAAGCTCGACGATGAGTAGACAGGACTCCCGAACGCATTACGGAGTAAGAGATATCAAACTGAACTTGCCCTGAAAGGCACATCATGTTTTTGTCTCCAGACACACACAAATAACATCGATTGGTTAGGATAGCGGGCTTGGGTTCATGGTACTGGGGAAAAGACTAGACGCTTGTCCTATCTCACCGGCAAGACAGCAGCTTTGTCTTTCAAATGTATCCACGGCGTGGACCAGATCCCTAACGATTCTCCTACCGGCAGAGCTTGAGCTCTTTTCCCACTGGTGCCCTTTGCCCTTCATACAGTAATGCACGGTCTAGAACAGATACGTTTTCTGCCAAGAAATCAAGCAATCTTCCGAACCATGGCGAGATGTACGGATTCTTACAGTAAGTAGGTAGTACCGTACCTACTTACAAAGAAAAGCAAAGCTACCTTTCTTTTGAACCATACCGACTTGTGAAGATATTCCCAATGACATGACAAAGAAAAGATGCAACATGTTTTCTTTTCCATGTCCATAGGTACCTTACGTAATAAGATCTTGCATAGGTACCGGTATCTTACCCCTCCAGCCCCACCATCCGTCAGTACTATACAGTAAGGAAGGTGGGGTTAGGTTGGACCCCTGCCACTGCCCACCAGTGTGACGTAGCTGCCGTTCCGTCAACTGGTGGTCCGATCCGCTCGAGCTACAAAACCGCATTCCATTCCTCACTTCCCCTTCTCTCTTCCTCAACACAACCACTTCTCGCAACCACTGCTCACTTCCAGACCTCACGTTCAAATAACAACTCCAACTCCAAACCTCACCAACCACCCAACAACCACCCAACCAACCAACCCCCAAACCCACAACCATGGCTCGCGGCGAAGCTCAACAGACCAAGATCCACTACAAGGGCAAGACGGAGGACTTTGTCATCTTCGTCGACGACGCAAAGGTCGTTGAGAACTACAAGACCGACAAGACCATCCCCTTGGCCCAGGTCGTCAGCTCTTTCAAGGTCTTCATTACTCACAAGTAAGTTCTATCTTGTTGGTCTATCTCTTCACTTTGGAAAACATACCATCACAAAACAACAAACGACAACACCACCTCATATCCATCTCACTCAGTACTAACAAAACCGCAGACACGGCAAACAAGGCCCCCTCGATAGCGCATCCAAACAGATCCTCGACACCGAGTTCGGCACCGACAAGGAGGAGGAAGTCATCAAGCTGATCATCGAGCAGGGTACCCTCCAAGAGACCGAGGTATGCTCTTCCCTTCTTCACCCATCCTCGCTCCCATCTACCCTATCTTCCATTCCCCATCCCTCACGTCCCTAGCACCACAGCTAATAAGATCACCCAGGGCCCCGACCGCTCAGCCCCCAAGAATGACAGCATGGGTTCCCGCGCCGGCCACTAAACATCTCACCTCACCTCACTCCACCCCCAGACGAGGACGGGAATGAGGAAGGAGCATGTACGATATGATTTCACGAATGCCTGCCTGTCTATCTGTGCAGTCCCAGGATAGAACTGGGTACAGAAAGACATTGGCAATTGAAAACTTGCTTGCGAGCTAGCTAGTTACGATGCACAGACAGTACTAGCCACTAGCACTAGCGATGATTTTTCTTTTACGGCGGACGCATTACGACTGATGACACGAAATTTGACGGACGCGTACCCGGAGTATCAGGTCCAGTGCTCTGCATTTCCATGAGAGAAAGAACACATCTTCAAACAATACCAAACAATGCATTTCATGCTTCATTTCATGGCTTGTGAGACAGCGAGGAAATCGCTTCGCAAACTCGTCGCAAAACAATGTGCAACACCTTTCTCATTCCTCCCTCCTATCAAGAGTACGCTCCCTAAACAGGACTAAAATACAATTAATACAAAGTCTTGCTCTCCATCTGCACAACCCACCCCTTAGACCAGCTCGATATCAATAACAAAGCCACCAACCAGCATCAACATTAACAATACCCAACCGAAATCCAATGCTCCCCTTCCTTTTCGTCCTGATCATCGTCGTCGTCATCATCATCATCACCACCACCACCTTTCCTCCCGTTGCTCAACGAAAGAAATTCCTAATCCCCTCCGCAACCCCCGTCCGCCCCTTGACAATCCCCAACCCCCTCTTCTCCTTCTCCTTCTCCTTCTTCGCCTGCCTCCCGCCCCCGGAGCCGACCTGCGGCATATTCTCCTTGTCCTCACTCTTCTCCGAAATAACCGAGGTAGCCACAGAACTCGCAGCCATAGAACCCGCAGCCATAGCACTCCTCGGCGTAGGCGGTCCCCCCTTAACCAGCACGCTATTCGCACTGCTCGTCCGCAGCGGCGGTGTGATAATGCGGTGCCCGTCGTGGCTCCAGCTCTTGACCTTCTGCGTCGCCAACCGCCGGAGCGTATTCACCGGACTGCCATGACGCAGGTAATCCAGCGACGATTCCGATCGGGGCCCGTGATCCCTCTCGTCCTGGATGGCGGACAGCCGGGCCCGAGCCCGAGCCCGGGTCCGGTCCGGGTCGTCCGGGTCGAGGGTGGCGATGGGGTCGGAGTGGTACTCTGCGCGGGAAGGGGTGCTCCTGGGGGGGCCGGGCATGATGTCGTGCTCGCCGGACTCGTCGTCTTCGAAGGTCATGCGGAGACTGGCCATGCTGCCGGAGCGCTTGGTGAAGTTGCTGGCGATGCTGGCGACGCTGAGCTTGCGCATCATGGAGCTGGCCGAGGCGCGGACGAGGTGCTCGCTGCGTGCGCGGCTGGTCATGCCTGGAAAGGGGAGAATCTCGCGCGTCCAGACATCGGCCAGGAGCGTCTCGAGTCGGATGCGATCGGCGCGGGAAGGAGCCAGCACGGGGATCCGATTGGTCATGAGGAGGGATTGGGATCGGTGGATCGAGGCACACGATGCCGTATCTTTGAAGGCGTTGGTGTTTTTGATGATGACTTGACAGAGCCCTGTCATGGGTCCTACCGTTGTCGCTCTATGTATCGAGATTCGTCGGGCGATAGTGCCTGTCCATATCAGATTCTAGTGCCAGAGTCTTTGGCTTTGCGCCTTACCTGGCTTTCCAAAAACTGTCCCCATGGGCTTGATGGCCAGGGATAAAGATGTAAACAATGCTTGTTCTCCTGCATCAAAGCTGTCCCTACCAGAGCGATCTGCCAACCTGCTTCGCCATTCAAGTTCCTCTTTGGGAGAGCATGCACTCATGGTAGTCTCGAAAAGCTGGTGATCACATTCGAAGACTAGCTTCCACGAACACGGTGCCGTGTGGCATTGGAGTCCTGAAGCACAGTCAGTAAGGTCGCTTGGAAACCGCGCGCATATTCGGGAAATACCTCGACCGTTGTCAATCTCCTCGATCCGCATCTCGCTTAATCCAATACAGGCTTGAACGGTATAGATCTGGTCATTCTTCGGAGCTGATGCGAACAGGAGGAAATCGCGATACAGCAGGCAAATCATGTATTGGCCGTCAATACCTGTTCTGGTCTGCCAGGAGACGTGGAGAACACCACACAAATGAATATGTCCGAGTGCACGAATGTAGTTCTTGGACTGAAGAAAAGTCTATCTGAAACTTAGCATGAGTTGAGGTACGGATGGGCTATGAGATATACCGTGTCGGGAAAGATGAGCCGATCCTGCAACAGCCATGACTTCTCAATTATAGCTTTCATTCGTGGGTCATCAGTTGCTCGATTGATCTCCGTCGTCGCTTCTCGAAGTCGGATAAGAACGTTTTCGATTTCCATGTGGGAATCGGGACAGTCACACACAGGTGTCACCTTCAAGAGCTCCGAGAACAGCAAAGGGTATCTGCAAACTCGTTGAATTGGCTTTTTTCTAAGTGTAAGTAAGCCGAAGAGAAGGATGAGAGAAAACCGACCTTGACCAAGAGATCTCCAATCGTCAATGCCTTCTTCGTATTGTGTTGCTGGTTGTTGATTGAGGCAAGTGACGAGGCGAGAGCTTCAAATCCTTTCTGGTATGTCTCCCACTGAGGAATAGTTCGGTAGGTATTGGCGATATCTCTGATCATCATCTCATACTTGGCTCCATATTCCTCGTAGGCAAAGAACCGGTTCATCTGTTCAGTGGCCCGTAAGTATGGGGCAGCTCTTGTAACAGGACGTTCTTACCTTCTTGCCGAACACTTTTGCGACCTCGGCTGCAATTTTAGGCTCAGCTATCATACCGGGAATTTTTTGCAGCCAGGCCGCGCCACTGGTATGCTCAGGAACAGCATCAAGACTCCGCCACCGCTGATGCATATTGCGAAGTGGCGAGATTCTCGTATGCACACTTGCTTGAGTATACTCGGAGTTTGGGACTACTTTGTGAAGCTCGCCCAAGAGATCTTCATGAAGCCCGACAATGTCATTGAGGTTACGATTGATGGAAGATCGAAGGTTCAAGGACAGGCTTGGGATGGAGGCCAACAACGTTACGTATACCTGTAATCACAGTCAACAGAGAGGCCTACCAGATTGCAAGGAAGGACGTACATTCATGAGGAACTTGACATCTGCTAGGTAGCTCTCTTCCGTCGTAATGATCTCTTCTAGAATTCGGCGGCGTTGAAGCAAGCGATTTGTGACAGCTTGATCGATCGCAACGCCACTAGCAAGATATGAGCTGTCTTCGGAGGTGCGACCGACGTTGGAAGCTCTACTACTACGGTCAGTCCTCTGGTGTCGAGAGGAAACTGCAGTCATCTTCGAGCGTGGAGCGACACTGAAGCTCGCTAGACTTATGCTAGCACTCTTGACTGCAGTTACAAACCCGTAGGAGGAGCCCGAGGAGGATTTCTTGTGAGCCGTCCGCCTTCTTGAGTTTGGAGTTTCGAAGAGCTCGTGCTCCAGAGCCGAACCGGTAACATCACAGCTCACCGTCTTGCGTCTATCTGTAGCACGTCTCTGAAGACTCTTCATCCACTTGTTGAAGGGTCGGTCTCCATTCGCTGGGATTGCCAGGTTTTCGAGTGAGAACCGCTCGAGCGTGACGGGCTCGGGAACCTGAGCCTCATCTTCATGGAACGACAGTCCTAGAGCAGCGATGTTGTCCAAAGTATTCCACTCTTCATTGCCCTTCTTGCTACTGCTGGAGTCATCGTCTGTGGATTGGAGCTTGACATCGTCGTAGAGATCCTCCTGGGAATCGTTGGTAGCGGTGGCTGTTCGGCTTGAAGGAGGAGGAATCGGAGTCCCCCAGCTATTCTTGCGAGGGATATATACGGAGCTTCGACGAGAAAAAGTTGGGGTCGACAATCCCAGAGAATTTATGACATTAAGGCCGGCATCTGGCAAATCCATGATGAGAAGAGAGGGAACCAAAAATGTAAATTCAAAATTGCTCCAGGCGTCCAAAAGGGCTTGATCTCTTATAGAGCAAGACCAAAGTGTAATGCAAGAGAAGAATGGGATGTTTGTGACCAAGATTGGGATCGTATGTAGAGAAGCAGAGTCTGAATGCTTAGGTCGGAATTGAGGTCTTGGGTCAGCGACGCTGCATCCGGAAAGAAAGAGCGACTTGAGCATGGAAACGGCTTAATAACGCCCTTTCCTAGGCTTTGAATTCTGTAACAGAAAGATATAGTGCCAGCCTAGGTACCTTGTGAACAGTTTCAGCTGCGCAACCTTAAGAACTCAAGGTCCATGATGACAAACGCAACGAGGAGAATCGGGATCATACAACCGCTTGGTCTGAATCAACAATGCATTACAAACGAAATTCTATCATTTAAATGTGAAGGACTATTCACAGAATTCATTTAGGGGTTCCCTCACGCCTGATGGAAACCCAAGATGGTAAAAGGCAATGAAGATTGTCGGCAAAACCCCCCCCTCATTTGTTGACTTCGCTTGAATGTTTAGTCATCCGGAGCTACCCCGCCAAATCAACGCGTGGGCCTCGCAGCCTCCATGCAAGGCTGACTTGAACAATTAAAAAGCTGGCTCTTCCACCCGTACATCTAGGACCTCAGAAATGGGACTACCGTTAAAAATGGAGAACCTCCATGCACCCACCATTCCTGCGGGACCTACATCTGGACCGATCACAAATGGAACGCAAGCAAGCGGCTTGTCTTTGGCACAGCTCCAAGCAAAGAAAGACAACCTCGAGGCTGAGATCAGAGCTCTGGGAAGCGTCCTAGAATCCGTACGTGGGATCGAGATGGGCGAAGACCTGTGCTAATATTTATCAGCATGGCGTCGACATGAACACAAGGCTCGTTACTCCAGATGGATTCCCTCGGGCAGACCTGGATGTTGCGCAGAGTATGTTCTCTATCCATGCGAAGAGTCGCAGAGTGCTCATCGTCTGCCAGTTCGTACCACGAGAGCGCGCATCATCTACCTCAAGAACGACCACAAATCCCTTATGAACGTGATCGAGAAGCATATCCACGAGCACTTCGCACGGCTGGCAGAGAGTGGAGTGGAGGACGAGCCTATGACCAACGGAGACAATTCCAGAACTCATATTTCCACATCATCGCAGCCAGAGGTCTTGACGCCCCCATTCGCCAAAGTCAACAGTGTGGTGGCAACAAGTCCAGCGGACTCTGCGGGGTTGAAGGCTGGGGATGAGATTAGGGCTTTTGGATACGTAAACAGCACAAACCACGATAGTCTAAAGAGAGTTGCGGAATGTGTGCAAGGAAGTGAGGGTGTAAGTTCTTCCCAGCCTTTGTAAAGCCATGGAGTGGTTGCTAAAGACATACAGCGGGAGGTTCTTGTCAAAATATCTAGGGCCATTAGTGGTAGTTCACGGAAGCAAGAGCTGCGCTTGACTCTGACGCCTCGTCAGGGCTGGGGAGGTAGAGGTCTTCTTGGCTGCCATATACTGCCTCTGTAGGAGGCCGCCAAACAGGGATATTTGATGTTAAAGGTTGGCCTGGTAACATTCAAAAGGAGTCCCGCCGATCGGTGCCGACGACCTCGGCCGGAGTCTGGGTTTAACTTCAAGGCGCGGGTTTTCCCCTGGGCGTTAGGTTTTTGGAAGGACTCTTTTGAGAGTAGGCGAAAGCAATATTAAAGTTCGTGAATTTTCAACCAGAAGAAATAAGATATTTCCCCTCGAAGATCTGAGAGTTCATGAAAGCACACTACTACGTAGTACTGTACTATGTGTTGTCATTTTCGTAAAACTTTGGCAGCATTCAAACTCTGTGAGTCAATACGTGTTCTCCTGGAAGCATCAGAAAGTCTCGAGATGGACCGATAGGGGAACGAACAAAGAAGAGAAGAATCTGGAGTTGCTTATTAATTACAAGGTGCACCCTATTCATTTTTATAAATAGTCACGTGATATGGATCGCCAAGCCCATGATTAGATTTTTGCCTAGCGTGTCCGTGTTGTCTCCGCCCTCAGATCCCATCATTGATCATAACATCCTCGCGACTTCTGGACCAAACCATTCTCTACCCTCGTCCACCACGAAACACCCCAAAGGTTGGTCCTCCCACTATTGATTGTACTTCGACGTCTGCCACAACTGTTGGAACTTCATCACCTAAGCCTGCGCTGACAACTTATCGCAGCCTACGAGATTTTTGCTCTCTGTTTACCTCCCCACCAAAATCAACCACACACCCATCTACAACCATGGCTGAAGCAGCGAACGCCGTCCCTACCTTCAAGCTTGTGCTTGTTGGTGATGGGGGAACTGGAAAGGTGAGCCTTATCGACCCGCTGGATGCGCCGCTGCTTGATCGGCCGGATAGAGTCCGCGCCAGGACTGCGCTGCCTACATCCCAATATCAACGGCGCATCTACACAGGGACCGGTAACTAACGGCTTCGTAGACCACATTCGTCAAGCGTCATTTGACTGGAGAGTTTGAGAAGAAATACATTGCGACTCTCGGTGTGGAGGTCCATCCCCTCGGATTCAGCACGGTATGCGCACTACCCCCACCAGGAGCTTGTGGAGCACAGCTAATACATAGCAGAACTTGGGTAACATTCAGTTCGATGTCTGGGATACCGCGGGGCAAGAAAAGTTCGGAGGTCTGCGTGACGGATACTACATCAACGGGCAGTGCGGTATCATCATGTTCGACGTTACCTCCAGAATCACTTACAAGAACGTTCCCAACTGGCACCGTACGTCTTCGCAAATATGAAAAGAAATTTCTCTGGCGACATTGACTAACCATCCGCTTCAGGTGACTTGGTCCGTGTCTGCGAGAACATCCCAATCGTCCTTACCGGCAACAAGGTTGATGTCAAGGAGCGAAAGGTGAAGGCCAAGACCATTACCTTCCACCGCAAGAAGAACCTCCAGTACTACGATATCTCGGCCAAGTCCAACTACAACTTCGAGAAGCCTTTCCTCTGGTTGGCACGCAAGCTTGTCGGAAACCCAACTCTGGTATGTTGATCTCTAGATAATTTTCCCTCACAGCTGACCAATATCTAGGAATTCGTTGCTGCCCCCGCTCTCGCACCTCCTACCGCCACCGTCGACGCTGAGCTTCTTGCACAATACGCCAAGGAGATGAACGATGCTGCACAGATGCCTCTTCCAGATGAGGATGATGCCGACTTGTAGAACGCGCAAAGCAGGCGACATCTTTGGAGGTCAGTAGCGGCCACTTCTCAGCAGCATCTTAGAAAGTTCTTTTCCGGCGATATTTGCATTTTTGCCCAGAGGTCTTGCAGATAGAGGCAAATGACAACGGCTCCTCTTTGTCTTCTCCAAGAAGGGTAATCTCATGCAGGCAGCAAGCCTGCTGAGAGGGATGGGTAGGACTCGGGGACAACGATGAAAGACGTTGTGGTAGCGTTGATTATGCTGCTTAGCAGCTTTACGTAGCTAGACCATAAAAAGCAGTGGTTCTTTTGCCCGATCAGAAGTTTGGACTCATTACTTACCGCAGAAGATTCGTTTACGGACTTTATCTGGCGAGTTTTGCTTATTTCATAAGCTAGAGCGAGTGCTCTGTGGCTGAATACTCTCTGCATGGGAATGTGTATTGTGTTTCCTAGGCCAGAGTAGTCTTCATTTATACTGGCAAAAAAACGGGCAGGAAACGACTTTGTATCAGGGCAAGCTCGCAAACAGCCTGCGACTCTGATATGCTGGTCGAGCTAGACCGCTAGGAAGGAGACCGGCTCATCAGTACTCTATTCACTTGTACTCCTTACTTGCTTACCCTGCTACACTCTTTATATCTGACAGCTCTTACTTTGTACAAACATAAGCTTTAAAAGGTAAGTAAAAACTCGAAACTTTTCATAACAATAAATAGCGTCTAATTATAAGACGATTCTATTTTACATTCATTATTTAATATAGTTAATTGAAGCAGAAATATAGATAGTTGGCTTTCTTTCGCTTAACTTTAGAAGAAGTCTTTAAAATAAGAGGGGGTTCAGCTTTATATTTTGTATCGAGGTCTGTTAAACAAGCGGATTTAAGCGTGACGGTTTTGATTAACTACTTGCCCGAATATAGAGTTAGTAAATACCGGCTAATTTAGATTTTTGTTTTCGAAGTGTTGACCTTCAGTTTTGGTGCGAAAAGTGGTTTAATGCATTAGCAGTTACCTAGTACTGTAGCCTTAAAACTTGTTTCTCGTTACGATGCTCTAAAGCTATCCGTTATTGAATCTGCAGAAAAAGCTTTCGAGAAGTCAAGCCTCCACAAGCTGACTTCTTTCAGGGTCTCGTGCCTCGAGATTGCGAGGCTAGAATGCATCTAGTACATGTTGAGAGCTTTTTGGAGGAGATCATTATGAGTTTGAATGTAATTGGTAGAGCTATGGAGGCTAGAAATTTTAAAATAGGAGATCCCCAAGCTCTCCCCGAGTACGCAACTTGTTAATTTGCTCTTTAGGTCATCACCAAGGACCCGCAGGCTTGTACTTTACTTCCAAGTCTCCCAGAAATATAATCAACGGATAATCGCGACCGAGCTCGCTCTTGTCGATTACTTAACAAACTCTAGTTCCGCGGCTGACCTAGCTATCTGTCCCGAAGCAGAGAGCATTTTCAGAGAAAGCATAGAAGGTCCGTGCTATGCCTACAGTGGACGCGGGACGTCTGATATCCGCCATTCTTCTGATAAACCAACACCTCTGTCCTACTTCGTCGATTACTTGAAGTTGGACTCTATACGCAAGGCTCTTGGAGTGAACTTGAACCACTCCCAGTCAAACAACGAGGTTGTATTCTGCTTTCCAGCAGACAGGAGACTTTGTGTACCCGAATTTCCTCGAGGACGTTGAAATACTTTTGGACAATGACGTTAGAGTAGCTTTGTTTTATGGAGATGCCAATTTCATTCGTAAATGGTAAGACGTCCCCGAATCCTAACCCGTTTACCTTCTTCTCACACAGACTGACAACTAGCAGCTTCGTAGGCCAAGCAGTATCCCTCGCGGTAAACTACACCTATACCCGAGAGTTTGCCGCAGGATCGCCCCTTTCACGGCACCGAGTACGGCAAGGTGTGCCACTACGGAAACTTCTCTTTCTGGCGAATCCACGAAAATCCCTTACTATCAGCCTGTTGCTGCTTTGGAGATGTTCAGATGGACCCTGCTTGGCTTGGGTATTCCTGATGGAAATTTAAGAGTTTCGGCGAATTACTCGAGCACATGGTATGCTAATGATGCTAATGCTGCGCATACGGAGTCCTTCGTAGCATTGTCGTCGACTACGAGCTCGTCGGTGTCGATGGGTTCTAGCTCGACTGCTGTTACCACCGTATCGGAGGTTGTTAAATGGCTATGAGTGAGACATAATCAGCAATGAATAAATAATGTTTTGAGAGGGGTTAGATGGCGCTTATAGCGGCATATATTAGCAAGTGGCATATAGCAGCGGAGAATATTTGAAACGCGCTTTTCTATTCAGTGGCGGTTTGTCTTTTTTTCGAATCTCACGGATCGAATTTGCACGCCCGGCGCATTTCATGTAGATTTAATTTTGAAAAAGATGGAAGAGAAAACGCGAAAATCCTTAATCTAGGTATTTATGACGAGTGGCCGTGCTGATGCCCGTATGGTGTTGACTTTTATTCCTGATCTGGCATAGCACCACCACCGGCGTTTCTTCGCCTCTGCCGCGCTACACGAGACGCGACTCGCCGAATGTCCAATCGCCAAAAGCCCCCCAAGCCCGAGTCCCCAACATCCATTTAATATTCATTGAATGTTGAATGTCCACACATCGCCCGAACACTTTGGAGTCGTTATTCTGCACATCGATTCACCGAATCGAGTACTGGGATAAGGTTCATAGCCGCCACAATGAGTGACGCGACTTCACCCACACCCCGCCGCTCCTCTTCCGCAGCCCCGGCCACAGCTGCTGCTGCTGCTACTACTGCGCGGCGCCCTTCAAATTCGAGTTCGGGGAATAGCGGCGAGTTCGAGACTTGTTTGGAGCAGGCGGCCGGGTTCGTGGCGGGCGCAGAGGGCTTGGTCGACTCGGAAGATAGACTGGACAATAAGCAGAAGCGCAAGAGAACTAGGTACGTGTCTGGCTTAGGGATCTCACGATGAATCTCTTGTTCTGGTCTACACTGGCTGCATTTTTCTATCTGGAGAATTTTGTCATCAGTTTTGGCCCATTTGCTAAATCGTGCGAACTGCAGTCCCGCAGACCAAGCCGTTCTCGAGGCCGAGTACAGACAGAACCCCAAGCCAAACAAGGCGGCGCGCGCCGATATTGTAGAGAAGGTGTCCTTGAACGAGAAGGAAGTGCAGGTAAGTGGCGCTTAAGGGGGACGCAACCGCTATATTTTCAGGCGCGTTGCATATGAACATCTAGTAACTGATGGTTCCCAGATATGGTTCCAGAACAGACGGCAGATCAACCGACGCAAATCACGCCCACTTCTACCACATGAAATTGCCGCTTTTGGATTACGGAGTATGGCTGCAATGTCTTCGGACCCTATCACTATGATGGATATTGGACGCTGCAGCAGCCAAGGTCCAGAGGAGCATGAACCAAGTTCGCAAGCAGATACGGTCGCTAGTCAAGAAGTCGCCGACGTAGAGGACGTGGAGAATGAGGTCGTTCTGCAGAAAGCGGTGGAATCCCCCGTGGAACCAGAGAAAGAGGTTGAAGCCGAGGTTGAAGCTGCTGTGGAGGAAATTGCTGCCTCGCTGTCCCCGCCATCGTTGCCTCAGATATCCTCCGGCACATTGGCCACTGATTCCAGCTCGATTTCAGCTGCCGAAAAAACCGTGAAGTCATTAGGATACTTGTCAAACCGTTGGAATGCACACAGTAGCTCAGCTTCGACTCCATCCTCGTCTAAAGCCCCCACGTATGCCACACCACCTACGTGAGTACCCTCAGCCAGTAACATTTTGCTTTTGCTAATCTTACATCAGATTCAGAGCAACTCAACCTACTTCGTGCCCTGAACGCATTGACGAGACCGTACCTACCCCTTCTTCTCACATCCGATTATCGCTGTCATTAGATGGTAAAGCAACACTAGTCTCAACAATCCCATCGCCTCCTCGCCAGTATGCCCCTCGTCCCCCTTTGTCATCAGAACCTATGACTCCACAAAAAAGAATGCGCCTCCAAAGAAGTCAAAGTGCTCTCAACTTTGGGTCCCGCCCGTCCATGAGCAATGCTGGAGCCTCTCCGCTACTGCCACGCTTACCAACTGGACGCTCAAGAGATGCTCGCAGCTGGGAGAAAATATGCGGTAATGCTGAAGTTCCTGACGAACTTACTAAGCAAGCTGAGAATGAGCTTTCTGGTTCTGCCGTAGCTGCTATCAGCCTTCTACGATCCAGCGGTAATACTGCTCTGAAAGCTAACCCGAACAAGCGCAATGCACCCTCTGCTAGGCTGGATACTACTAAGCAAGGCAAGAAAGCAAAACTTGCAAGAACAGTGTTGAGCGTCGCTAAGCTGCAAAGCCCAAGCAAGGCCCCTCCAAAGGCCATTCAGGATCCTCACGAATTCGGCAAAAATAGACTGCTGCGTTCCCCGTCTGGAGATTCAGACAAGGAGAACTGGGTGCCTCAGGAGAACGGAGCGAGCTCTCGCCGTAAACCGTTGCCATCTGGCCGTACGGATAAGCGGTCTAAATCCCGGGTGGTGCTCGGTGACAACCACAGCATCCCAAGCCACGCTGTAGATTTTGGAGGAAATAGAAGCCGAAAACGAAAATCTGCAGTCGCACAGGGTATTTTCGAGGATCAGGACGAGAACGCAAAGGTTGGTGAAGAAGTTGAGAGCTTCATGCGTGGTGAGATATGCCCTAGTAAAAAGGGTGATTTGGACTGCATTCAGGGACTGCTGTCTTTGAGCCAGGGAAACTGGCGGTAGCGCGTTAGGTATGATCCAGTGGGGTTATGAGATACACTTTGTCAGTATTTGGGTAATGTTCACGGGGATTCTGTGGGATCAACTATGCAAAAATGGCGGCTGGGGGGAGTTTGTTGGATTGACTGGACGATGACTCCTGTACTTACTGAATTTCGGGCTGAATCATCTCGGGGACCAAGATTAGCTAGAAATCATAAATTGTAGCTTACCATGGCCCCTTTCGTTGCTCCATTTCAATTTCTTATTGATGTTTCATGAACCTTTTGCTGGTTTTCTACTTTCTGCTACATGAGTGAGTGTGCTTGTAAGGTAGAGTCAGAAATCGGAAAGTGGGCTCTTTCCTTTCTTGGCCTTCTGTCCTTTCACAGCACTTAAATTTTAATGTGTCGACCATTCACCTTCTCCTGCCTTTTTGGGATATTCTAGGGACGGCTCCGCGCCGATCACCTTTCTTGTATTCAGCATTCACATATGGGTCCTGCGTCAGCTGCGTCTATTAACTATACTGCAGCGTCCAAAATTCAAATCGTCGAGTTCACCTATTCACTTTCATCTTCCACAACAACCGACATTCATCATCACAGTGCACAAAAGTAAGTTGTATCCACACATCCTACCACTCCCTCAACCTGGAAAAATACGACCACGCGGATACCTTCTGTCTACCTACTAGATATCGAGCGAGTACTCACACCCTCAGAGCACTCTGCCTTTGACAAACAACACAGTCGAGTCATTCGAGTCAGTCTTAAGGGGAAGAAGTTGCCAGGAGAATTAATTGCTCCTAGCACTATCGGACGCCTCATATCTATCTCCTGTGCTCGAACCATCGATCCATCAGATTTGCATCTCATCTTTGCGCAAACCGTGCCCCGATCTGCTTGGGCAGATATCCATCCACCAGATCTTTTCACCCCGGTTCAGGCCCGGTCGAAGCGAGAGGGAGGCTAAGCGAGGCAACAACAAACAGTCCCTTCATCCTTCGAGTCTAGGAGAACCCAGCAGCATCAGCATATTGATACGCACAGCAAGGAGGCAGAGAACAAAAGGATTGCAGATTCCGTGCGTGCCAATACTATGTCTGCATAGGACTCGGGCATTATCATCGATATCAACGCGCACATCTGGACAACGATGGCTTCCAGGTAAGGGTGTACGAGTTCTTTTCTGTTTGTGATTGTCTTGATTGAATTGGGGTTTGTACAAGCCTTGTCGCAGTATCTTCTTGAATAGGTAATTGCTTGCTGACCTAGGGCACAGTGGGCCAAGTAATCCAGGATGGTTCACATCGTTGCTTCCCGCTGTTATTGCGAATACAAGAAGATCCCGGCCTGATATTAACGCCAGACCGATCGTCTACCTCAAGGTACCGGACATCAGTTTTATATCGCAGGCACAGGGGGGAAGTGTGGTTGAAGCTACTGTCTCGAGGAACGGTGGCCCATCCCGTCGGGACAGCGACGAGGCTCTATGTGGCCTCGCAGGTGGCATGAGTTCTCTCGACCTGATCGATCCCGATAGCATCTGCCCCAAGTCCCTGGCTCCAGTAGCCAATCTGAAGCCTCATAACCTCAACCCCGCTTCAGAGTCTTCCCATGGACCTATCCACTTCCACCGCAAACCACGTGGGCCAATCCAAGACCACAAAAGCCTCTCAACCCCTTCGCCTCTCACCCCATCACCACGAAAGTACACCCTATCCTTGCCACCCGCACGCACCGACCCGGCAGATCCACATGCGCATCTACTACCTGGGTTGCCTATGCCCGTCAGCCCTGAGACGCTCAGATATATAATGCAAATCTGGGCCCAGGACACAGCTTGGTGCGCTGAGTAAGTCCCCTCGCGACCCGAATTTGCTCCGAGAAAGACTTTTCCTGCCAACATCCGCTGACCGTCCTCAGAGCAGCGTGGCGGGAGGAGTATAACCCGTTCCCCACCATCCATCTCCGCGAGGGCTGGAATCTCGCTCGCTGCCAGGGCATTTTGTACGTTAGGTTTACCCCCCCCCCCCTCTTTCGTTTTCGTGACTTTCGATTCCTGACCACCAGCAAGCAGGTGGCATCTCTACCACACCATCTACGACGGAGACGGTATCCTCGGGAGCATGGAACACGAGGTATCCGCCCGCCAGAGCCTCGCGCGCTTCAGTTTCTGGGCGCAACGCGAGCCGATGCAATTTGACGAGGCCGACGACGAGGATCTCGGAGGCGGAAATGGATGGCTCAAGGTAGGCAAGGCGGACAGGCACCCGCCAAAACCCCTTTTCTAGACGAGGCACCCAAATATATATATATATATATATATATGTTCCAATCACTGACCCACCCGGTGCTTTTGCAGATGTTCGCGATGGTTTTCAAGGGCAAGGAGGGGCAGGGGATGTGCTGGGCGCGGGAGCCCGGTAGCTGGCGAGCAGCGAGGGCGGGCCTGCTGACGTGTTGTCGGGGAGTCGACTTCCTGGCGGACGTCGAGCAGTGGGGGGGCAGTATTCTGGGGCGGGTACAGGTTTGGAAGGAAAGTAACGAGGGCTGGCGGGATGTGCAGGAGGCGCGGAGGAAGAAGAGGCGGAAGTTGGAGTCGGAGTCGGAATTGAGGAACCAGCCGAGCGATTGGACGCGCCCTGACGACGACGAGGAGCGACGGAAGAGAGTCAGACGCGAAGGGCCCGCGCCTGCGAAGGTTTGGAGTGAGGGATGGAGGAGGAGGAGGCGAGAACAGGAGAAGAAGGCTGGGAGGTGGCTGGATGGCACGGCGAGGCAGAATCAGATATGGGCCGAATTCTACTGTAAGTTTGAGATGCTCGTTCAACTTTTTATGGGGGGGGTGGCTGGCTGGCCCAGTCCCAGTCTCAGGATCATAGATATGAAATCTCCTGCTCGCTTGCTGACTCGCTGCCTACTTCAGGGGTACTCAATTGCGAGGATCCTCGGGCCATCCACTGCATGACCTGGCCGAGCGAATACCAACTGGGCAATGGAGACATGGCACATAGTTGGGGGGAATACGCATGACGACCTCATGGTCAACTACTGCGCCAAAAGTCGAGATCGAAGGGTTGAGAGGTACGCATGTGGTGATTTTTTCTTTCTTTCTTTCTTTCTTTCTTTCTTTCTTTCTTTCTTTCTTTCTTTCTTTCTTTCTTTCTTTCTTTCTTT